CTCCTTCCCTGCGTAGAGGTCAAACAATCCACCCCCATAATAACCACCCCCACACGCGAAGTCGTTGAGCAAACGCGCCCAAAGAAGGAATCAAACAGGGCAGGGCTGTTGAGTAAACGCCCAGGGCCGTTTAGTAAACGAAAATTGTCGGGTCTGGATGGTTTTTACTCCCATTGACTGCGGGCCCCCGGAAATCCAGACCCTGTCCCCGAAACCGGCTCTCCGTCCTGAGTCGCTCCTGCACGGCCCCGGGACCCCGCGAGGGCCCCTGGAGGCCGAACACGGCCAAACACCTGCCGCCAGGATCCTCCTGCCATCGCTCGGATGCCCATTCCACCTGCCATTTTCGATTTCGTGCGTGCTTCCCCCCCCCCCCGATGATCAGAGGATGCTCCTCGACGGCCCTCGCCGAAGAACAGTGCGCACGCCCGAGCGATGCCAAGCTCTGCTACGGCACGGGCATGTCTGGGGGCGGCGCCTGCTTCTTCTTTCTTTGGGCTTGGGACCATTGCTTGTCTTTTTTGTGTGTCCTCTATTGAAGGGGCCCTGCGACACACAAATACATACACACAAATAACAGGATCCCCAATATTTTCCAATATTTTCTAGGTTTTCGTCTTCCCTCCCACTTCCCATATTTTCCCATATTCTCCTGGGAATCGACGATGAATTGTGTCTGTGTGTTTTTTCCCCTCCTGATCTGTGCTCGAAGACTCCGCCACCCCGCACGGGGTCATGAGTTGGCGCGCGACCTCTCCGCCCCCCACCCGGACCCAGCGGGAGAGCAACTTCCAGGTCGACGCTCGCGCTGCTGCTGGCGTGAACCGGAGGCAACTGCTGGTGCGGTGCACACGTCCGGGGGGCGGCACCTGCTGCCCCCGCGCCACGCGCAGCAGCAGGTCGGCCGGCGCGGGCGTCGCGCGCCCCTGCTTCTCCTCCGAGCCTCCGGTCGTGGTGGCGGCCGCGGTGGCCACGGCGACCGCGGCCGCGGCCACCTCGGCGCGGATCGGGGGCGTCCAAGAGCTTGGACGCCCGAAATGGGTACGGAAAAAATGGGTACAATGCCTGACAATCAACGTGGTAGGCTGCGTTCTGTCTTCAGGGAACCACGTCCGCGGCGGCGCAAACAGCGAGTCCTGTTCAAAATAAACAGGAACTACTGTTGGGCATCGTACCCGTTCTTTCCATGCCCATTATATATCGATCGTCCCGAAAGAGGGGGGGGCACAGATCATGGCTGACCGCACGTGCGCGGCGCAGGCGATGGCCGGGGGGGTGACGGAATGAGAAGAGGCGCCATGAAATGTGGGGAGGTACCATGGCCCCCGCCATGATACCCACCCCTCCCATAGACCCCCCCTCCCCCCCTTGGGGGAGGCGAAAACCCACCCCCATCCCCAGTCCCGACCCCATCCCCGAACCCGCGATCCAGGGGGTCGGGACTGGGGGTGGGGGTGGCTTTTCAGGGCCCACGAATTAAGACAACCCACCCCCACCCCCAGTCCCGACCCCTTGAATCGCCAGCTCGGGGATGGGAGTGGGTCCTGGGGGCGGAGGAGGAGGAGGAGGAGGAGGAGGAGGAGGAGGAGGAGGAGGAGGAGGAGGAGGGGGGGGTTTTCGCCCTCTGACCCTTTGCCGCCCGCGAGCGTGGATCGGGGACGCACTGGCCCGGGTCAGCGCTAACCTGGGTCAGCCATGGGCCCTGCCCGCGCAGCCCGGCAGGCCGCGCAGCAGCTCCCGGCCCAGGAAACAGCTGGGGGCGGACTGGGGAGAACTGGCCCCGCGCGGCTGCAGAGCCTTGGTGGGCCAGGTCGGCGGCGAGCGAGGGGGGGAAGTGAGAAGGGGCGGGCCTTCTCGGAAGGCTCGGGAGTCCCCTGGCCTTCTGAGAAGTGTTCTGAGGCCTTGCCCGACGACACGCATACTTTCTCAGAAGGCGCGACGGCTTCTGAGGAGTGCCGCCGCCTTCTGAGAAAGCATGTTCCTTCTCACTCCCCCCCCTCGATCGCCGCCGACAGAGGTGATTGGCTGACCCCCGCCAGCGCTGACCACCGTTACAGTGGAGGCCCGACCGCAAGAAACCTTCCACAAGAAACCCAACCCCGAGACCCCAGGACGCCCACGGATTTTGGGGTGTGGGAACGCCGCGCCCTCCAGAGCAAAACCCTCGAAGTCCGAGAAACCGAGGGCAACCTGGAGGCGAACAGGGTGTTTCTTGGCATTGGCCCCCACGGTGCGTGAGCTCCCCGCGGAAGCAGCACGTCGGAGGCCCAGCCGAGGCATCGATCGGCGGCCTTCCCCTGGCGACGCTGGTCCTCTGTTCGGGCCTCTTCTCGCGCCGTGAACAAAAGAACATGACCGCACGCTCTTCCTCATGTGGCGGACGAGCGACGCACTCCTCCTCTTTCCTTCTTCCCTCCCTCCCTCCCTCCCTCCCGCCCTCTGCCCTCCGCCCTCCTCCCTCCTCCCTCCTCCCTCCTCCCTCATCCTCCTCCTGCTGCTGCGCCTCCTCTTTCTCCTCCTCCTCCTCCTCCTCCTCCTCCTCCTCCTCCTCCTCCTCTCCTCCTCCTCCTCCCTCCTCCTCCTCCTCCCCCTCCTCCTCCCCCCCCCCCTCCCTCTCCGACGACGACGCATACAGCCAACCCGCATGAGAGGGACGCGCGACCAAGGATGCGGGGGGGCCCTGGAGGGCCATGTCGAGACGCTGCGGGCGGGGCGCGGCCGGCGCAGGCGGCCCAAGATGGGCCGAAGGGGGAGGATGCGAGGGCAACCTTCCAGGCGTTGGCAGAGCTGGGTTTAGCGGGACCCGGTTTCGTGATGTGTACTGGGGGACGCCCCCCCGCCCTGCAGTCGGGGCGTTGACCTAAGAACCCTAAATCAGGAACGAGGCCCCTTTTTTCCATAAGTGAACCTTCGATCTTCTGTCGAAAACATGAGGGAAACCTGAGGCAAGCTGTGAAACACTTAGGGAACGCGGAGCCCCTCCCCAACGAAAAGGGTTCCTTCTTCAGGGCCCCGGCTGTACTGGGGGACGACCCCCCGCCCTATTCCGCTAACCGGAACTGCCGTCACCCGAAACAAAACACCAGCTGCGGCAGACCTGGTCTAGTCATTCTGGCCAATGTAGCGGCTCCAGGGCCCTACCACTACCCATCGGTCGGAAGAAGTAGGTAGAAACATGAAGTAAGAAGGCGTTGGAAATAGATTGGGTTTCCGCACACCCCCTGAAGAGGAAGGAAGAGGGAAAACCACTCGACTCTTGAAGTAGGAAGGCGCTGAAAGTAGATTGGAATCTGGGAATCCCAAAATACCTACTTTCAACGACCGATGGCTAACCGGGTCCCCTTGCCTGGGGTCCTAGCTATGCCCGAACCTTGGCAACTGGCTCGTCCTTGCTACGTATGCGGGTTGACTGTACCCCCTTTTTCGGCGCTACTCCAAATCCCTTCTTAATCGTCCCCCGGGTTCGGATTTTTAAGGCGCCTTTTTTGTAACGGGGGGGTCCGTTTTTTTTAGCGCGCTTTCTTTGGATTGGAGCTTAGGGGTCCGGTTTATTAAGGCGCCCCGTCGAAGAGGGGAGTCCAAAAGATTAGGTCGCGTTTGGAGGGGGGTCCGTTTTTCTGGGGGGGTCGATTGATAAGGGATTTGGAGTAGAGGCCCAAGATTGGGCAAGGACCGACCGTCACAGCATTCCGATAGGCCCACCACGGCATGCTTCCTAGAACCAATGAGTGCTCCAATCGCGTGAACAACTGTAGTGGCACTACGCCGGCACATACTGAAACCATGCTGTCTCAGCCAGACATGTTTTGAGAACATGCCTTGCTAACCATAGCAAGTTTTTAGAGCATTCCCTGGCTGGCCTACGTAGAGCAAGTCAAGACGCTTCGCCACTGCTTGACACTGGGCGATTGAGGGTGGTCCGCGCAGATTTCTTGGCTCGGCGCTGAGCCCCCCTGCCCTGGCGCGCGGAGCGCGCCAGGGGCGGCGCCGGTGGCGCCGCCACGGGGGGTCCAGCGCCGACCCACGAAATCTGTGAAGACGTCCGAGATGTTGCCCATCGGTCGGAAGAAGTAGGCAGAAACGTGAAGCAGGAAGGCGTTGAAAGTAGATTGGGTTCCGTCCGCCCCCTAAGGAGGGGGGAAAAGGTGAAGCCACTCGACGATTAAAGTAGGAAGGCGCCTTTCAACGACCGATGGGTACAGGCAGAACATTGCGCACAGGACACGCGGCAGGACACAAGACTCTTCTGACGGCCACATGGCCTCCAAGCCGTAGGACGCAAGGACACCTTGCCCCGGGGCTGCAGCGGACACGACGCGCAATGCACAGGACACACGAATACCCTTGATTTGGCAGCGTCGACCTACTAATCCGGGCCGACTGTATGTTTATTCGGGAGCGGCAAAGAGGGGGGTGTCCAAGAGGGGGGGGTGCAAATCATGACCGGCGGCATGTGCGCGGCCCAGCGGGGGGGCCAGAGACGTAATGAAATAAGAAGAGGGGCCATGAAATCTGGGGAAATATCATGGCCCACGCCATGATATCCCCCCCCCTAGTCATCACCCCCCTCTTTTCCGCCCCCGATTTATGGAATCGCTCAGTTCTAGCCGAGCCGGGAAAGGCCGCATCGGTTGACATCGGCAGGCCCGCAGGCCACCAAGGAGACACCGAACCCGAGTCAGAATCCGATGTCGAATCGAAATCGGAATCGGAGGCCATCGAAATCGAATCGAATCCAACTGGACGAGGAGGAGGAGGAGGAGGAGGAGGAGGAGGAGGAGGAGGAGGAGGAGGAGGGGAAGGAGGAGGAGGGGGAGGAGGGGGAGGAGGAGGAGCAGGAGGAGGAGGAGAAAGGAGGCGGAGGGGACGGAGGAGGAGGGGGGAGGAGGGGGAGAAGGAGGGGGAGGAGGAGCAGGAGGAGGAGGAGAGAGGAGGAGGAGGAGGAGGAAAAAACGAACCGAGCCCTGCGTTGTCCCCGTCCCCCCCGCACTGCGAGCCACCGCTGCCCCGGCGCTGCCGCGAGAGCGGCGGGCGGCAGAAACACCCGGCGCCCGCTCGCGGCGGCGGAGGCCGCCAAGCGCTCCGCCTAGCCTTCGGGTACGTGCGTGTGCGTGCTTCTCCGTACTGCTCCTTCTCCTCCTCCTCCCTCCTCCTCCTCCTCCTCCTCCTCCTCCTCCTCCTCCTCCTCCTCCTCCTCCTCCTCCTCCTCCTCCTCCTCCTCCTCCTCCTCCTCCTCCTCCTCCTCCTCCTCCTCCTCCTCCTCCGCCTCCTCTCCTCCTCCTCCTCCTCCTCCTCCTCCTCCTCCTCCTCTCCTCCTCCTCCTCCTCCTCCTCCTCCTCCTCCTCCTCCTCCTCCTACTCCTACCTCCTACCTCCTACCTCCTACCTCCTACCTCCTCCTCCTCCTCTTCCACCTTCTCCTCCTCCTCTAAGGTCAAGAGAACCTCGCGCAAAGGTCTAGAGAACCTCAGGAGGGTTGAGGGCGGACTGTTTCCCTCATGCTGTGGCCCACCTGCGACTGCAGGATGCAAACCTTGTCTAGGGGCCCCACAGGCGGTCGCCCCAGCTGTTGAATTAGATGAATACTTGCGTTATCACACGCTGCCTGAAGTTGGAGTGTCCAGAGGAGCTCAGGAGGCCGACGAGTCCCATTTGTTTTCGGGGAAGGGTCCTGATTCGGTGGGGTAGAAGAGCGGAAAGCTGGAGCGGGCGGCAGTGAGGGGGTGCCGTTTGCCCCTCCTGCAGCCGTCTCCCGCCGCCCCCCCCCCCCACCACCACGTCCATCCCCAGGCGCAGGACCAGGCGGCTCCTCCTCCTCATCCTCCGACTAGCTTGTCGCGGTGCCGGGGTTGCCCCGAGTCCACCGGTTTCTTTGTCCTGCTTGTTTCGGCTGAACTGGCAAACCAGCCAGCTATTTGCATGTGTTTGCGTTTGCACCTATTTGAATCTAGCTGCGCGCCGCGCGCCGACACTGATGCGCAAAGGTGGACCGTTGGGTCCTTGTGGGTGTCCCACATGTGGAATGGTTGTTATCCCGTGATCCCGTAATCCCTCCTCCCTGGTCCTTCCTCCTTCCTCCCTGGACCCTGATCCCTGGTCCCTGGTCCCGAGTCCCTCCTCCCTCCTCTCAACTCCATCCTCTCTCCTCCCACCTCCCTCGTCCTCCTCCACCTCCTCCGCCTCCTCCGCTAGCCCTGCCTCCTCCTCCTCCTCCTCCTCCTCCTCCTCCTCCTCCTCCTCCTCCTCCTCCTGTACTGTACTCAGTGGAAGCGGCCGTCGAATGCCCGCCGCCCCAAACACAAGCACACTCACTCAGTGACATGTGACTGTGGACCGGGCATCACCAGGCCGAAACGTGAGAGCAGCTGGGCAGGGTTCCACCTCTCCTCCCACAGGCCTGGAACTGCAGCGGCATGATCGTTGTCATCAGCCCGCCTGACCTGGATCCCTCTGTGCGCTGCCCTGATCAGAGACAGCAGGTCCAAGGGGGACGGGGATCCATGTCCAGAAACAGTCCACCCAGCATATTGTTTCGCCCAAGAGGGGAAAACACCACGCAAGAACCTCGATCTTTGTTGTCTGAGATCCTTGGTCCTCGGCTGGCCCTGACACTTACCAGCTAAGGACATGACACCTGACCATGCATATCCACCACATTTCAAGCAACAGATCACCCACCCGCTCCCGGCCGCCCTCCCACCGTCCCTGACGAAAACCTTCGCTATGCAAAGGTGATGGCCATGCAGCCTGGACAAGAGGGTGATCGCACTTAAGACCTCAGCGGGAACATCGTCGGCAGTATCAGAAAGAAGGGGCACCCTGAAATCAATGCGAGGGGCCCACTTCTGATGGCCGTCCTTGTACAGCCTAGCTATCTGCCTGGCAGAAACAGACTTGGATGGCTTAGGCTGGGAATCGTGTTCCATGTTTCCGTCCACCTCAACGGGCACAGGGAAACCAGACGAGTCCACCCAACCTCTATCAGCCATCATGACATCTCGCATGCCACCCCATCTAAGCAGCTCCTTCTGGTGCTCAATCAGCAGGGAACGGAGCTCCAGGAACTGCTCAGGGAGAGGGTGGCACGCAGCACCTAATTTAGCAAATCTGTCAGCATGCTTATTACCGAGGCGCTCTGCCTCCGTGCATCTACCATTAAGCACGTCGGCCACAGTCGCATGGCCTTCTACTTTAGAAGCAGACACCCCGTTCTCAAAAACATGCCAAACCTTGGTCCAGAGATGGGCCCGAGGATTCTGGGAAGAACAACTGCTGGCCCTGTCCCAGACACAACCCAGGGTCCCCTGGCAGTCCGTTAAAAAAACCGTGTTATCGGAAAACGGTTCAACAAGCTCGGACGCCATTCTTTAGGCGTAATCCTCACCGTCTCTGGCCTGTTGCCACGGGGCCTCTTTGCGAGGCACTGGACCGTGGGCCGCAGAAATCGAATCACCGAATTCATTGGTCTGGGCCAAGCTCCACCCAGCCCTGCGGATATCTTCGCACTGAGGGTTGATCGCAGATCCATCAGTGAATATTCTACCGCTCAGCCTACCAGAGGCCGGCTTGTTGAACCACAACACTTCACACGAGGATGGGGAGAGAGGAGGGGGGATCAGCTCTCGAGGATGAGGAAGAACCCCAACAGCATATTTCTCAAGATCTTGGCCCCAGTCCTTCACTCTTCTCGACGCTGCAGCACATGCAGCAGATAAATATTGACGTCTGTCACCGTCGAAGGCCTCGCACTCGAACCTCCTATGGAAAAGAGCGCCCTCGATGGCCTGGCACATCTGGCAGATGTCGTCATCGGCCAGCCCGTGATCCTTAAGGCGAGCCTGAGTCCAGGAACCAAGAGCGAACGCATTTCTCACATGTTTTGCGATGTTGCCCCCAGACCTGGCTACACCCATCCTTCAGGAGATCTCTAGTCCCCTCCCACAGCGCAGGTCTACACCAGACCCCGTTGAGCTTTGGCCTAAGGAGGAGAGCACGCTTATCAGCCCAGTGTCCTGCATCACGCTGCGCAAGACTGCTAATCATTACAGGCGATAGAGATAACAGGTCAACCACTTCTCCTTGAGCAGTCGAAAACCTGTCTGGCTGAAGTAGGCGTCCAGCCTAACTCTCGCAGCGTGAGCAAGTAGACATGTGCTGGGCTGGTACATGTATTCCACGGTCTTCTGACCTGCCAGAGGTCGGCCACGGCTCTCTTTCTCTCAAAAAGAAAACAACAACAACTGCATAACATCCAGCCCAGGAGATCCATCCCAGATAGCCTTACACCATTGTAAAACCACATTCATATGGTATACAGCATATGGGTCCACACGGGCTCCACTTGGGTGCGACCTCAGCCTGAACGACATGAAGGCCCCCGACTTGTCTCTGCTCAAACTGCGTGCTGCTGCAAGCCTCATGGTGCGCAACTGCTTGGGGCATAGACCTGCCACCGTAAATCCCCAGAGACCTGCCGCTCGGGGTCCTGCGCGCTGAAGATTGCCCACAAACGCCCCAGCATTCTTCAGTCTCAGCAATCTTCTGGACCGCTTAGAAGCCTTCAAAAGCCGAGCACGAGCAGTAGGGTTTCGCCGTAAGCGTCGAGCCACGGCGTCACATCCCAACGAGCGAACAACAATTTGATTCTTGAAACCATACTGACTCCAAATTCCACGGAGCACCACATCTAACTCCTTGCTCGAGGAAATGTACTTGGTCTTTTTCCCAGAGAGGACGAGCTTAAGATTTTCGAAACCCTCCTTAAGCATCGCCCCAGCTCCTCCCAGCTGCTCCTCCACAAACCCCACCGCACCAATAGATTGCATGGACACATCGTCGATCACATTCCTGATCGCGAGGGAAGGGTAAGCCGCGGCGACTGCAGAAAGAAGCCTGTGCAACACCACTCGCGCAAACGATGTAGCCAAACTGCAGCCGGCTAAAATCGCACCTGTCACGTGCAAAGTGGCCGAGATCGCCCCCTGGAGCGTGAGAGCTCGAGCGCCAACATGCAACTGAAGAGTAGCACGCGTAGGACGGAGGCTGAGACCAGTAGCCTTGGCCTCCTCAAAAAGAATCGGCGGGGCAACTCGCTCGCACAACTTGTCCAGATCGCTAAACAGGGTCCCCGAGCGGAAACGCTTTATCCGAGCATATTCACACATCATCGAATGGTTCCACCCTGCCCGATCACACCCCTTGTCCCTCTCGCCCCAGAAGAACTGAGCAGAGTGCTCACGCTCCCAAGACCTATCCACCTGCTGACGTACTCTGGCCCAGACCCTGAACACCGAAACGATATTGGCAAGGGGGCGCAATCCAGCACCGTCAGGATTACCCTGGAAGACGATGACGGTGGCATACTTATCGGGCAACTTGGGGCACCTTTCCCAAAGCATAAGCAGGTCCGTCAAGCGATCAACATACTCCACAGGAAGTAAAAACCAACTCCTAGGATTCATACAGTCGACCCCCAGACCCGTCTCGTGCTTGAACTTACTGAGAGCCCACCTTACTTGTTCCCTATCAGGCCTAACAAGAGGAGGCTCAGCATCTGCTTCGGCGTGCTGTGCAGGCGAGAGAGGACAGTCATGAGTAAGCCCATGCATCCCCCATTCCTCCTGCAGGGCGGCAATCGCACTGTCGCCTTGGAGGGCCCATCCCTCAGCAGCGCGAGGCCCCTGGGCAGGAGCCTTTACCTTAGAGCAAAGCAAGCGCGCGCGGCCTTGCCAGCCTTAGCAGAAGCAGCATCCTGGGCCCAAGCCTTCCAGTCCGACCATCTCTTCGCCGAATGATCTTTAAGCATCTTCTCATAAGTCATCTTGCCAGCCGGTCCCAGGTAACCGATCTCGACCCCCTCGGAGTCCTCGATCTTGCGAATCAAATCAGGAAGGCTAGGGGCCAGATATTGGAACTTGGCACCTAAATTGCCCATGCTCAAGCCGAGAATGGACGCACGCGCCGAAGGCCACATCGCAGATCCCTCCAGGTCATCCGCAAACGCTGCAGCCTCAACAAGAAGTGCGTCTAGAGCTCGCCAGGCACGAAGGCGAGGAGTACTGTGCGCAAACAACTTACCTTTCAAGACAGTGT